AGGATATAGTGGCACACACCTGTAATCTCAATGTTTAGAAAGCAGAGAAAGGACATTTGTGAGTTCAAGGCCAACCTGGGCTACATGGGGAAATTATGTCTCAAAACAAGCAGAAGGAAGCAAAGACTGAGGCCTGGTACAGTGGTGCACACCTTTAATCCAACACACAGAAAGCAGAGACAGATAGATCTCTGTGAATGTGAGGCTAGCCTGGACTACATGGCAAGTTTCAGATCAGCCAGGACTACATGGTGAAACTTTTTGTCTAACAAAAAAAAAAAAATTGCTAAGAGGAGGTGAAATCGGATCCTAGAAGGGTAGGTAGGAATGTTTACACACAGAGTGACTGAACCCTGACAGCAAATCAAGGAAGACAAGCCTTCACTCTACCGGAAGGTAAAGGAATGTATACAGAAGGTCTGAGCAACTCTGAGTGTCACTGAAGCAATTTAGAACCCAGCTGGGTCCAGGGGCGGTGCCTCTTGCCTGGCCACAGCCCCAAGCTATTCAAACACAGCTGGAAAGCCCCATCCTCAAAGGAACCTGCTTCCCAGCACCACCCCTCTATTCAAGAGAGGAGATTCTGTGAGCAGCTACCAACCCCAGAGCAGCCCCAGCCTGGGAAGGGAGGCCTGGCTCTTACTGAGAAGCCCCTGCTTGAGGCTTGGGCATGGCTCTAGACAGAGGGAGTGATTAGGAGTGAGGCCAGGCAGGGCCTAGGCCAGAATAGTGGCTTTGGGTCTGCCACCCCCAGATGCCAGGTGGAGGGCCTGAGGGGTATGGGGGTGGCAGAAGGTGGCTGCCAAGCCCTGTCACACCCCAGCCTTGCCCTGAGGAAGGGGGATGGCCTAGATGGCTTCCCACACAGTACCCAACTCAAGGAAACAGAAAATGGAGGCTGAGACAAGGCCTCAGGGCCCTCGGAGTTTCTCCTCGGGAACAGTGAAGTCTCCCAGCTCACCTGAGACACGGTAAATGCCAGCAGGGAAAAGCAGATAAGGGAGCACAGTCAGGTGTCAGGAGGGAGAGGTAGCTATAGCAGGGTCAGAATGACAGAACCTATGTGTCAAAAACAGGTGGTCACCACAGGCAGGAGTCTGCACCACCACCTCATTCAGCCCCACAGACACTCAAGCCCCAGGTCACCCCACTGCCTCCACAATCCCACACCTTCACAGGCAGCAAAACTCACAAACACAGCTAGGCGTGGTGGCACTCCCATCACTGGAGGCTGAGGCAGGAGGATTGCCATGAGTTACAGTCCAGCCTAGACTATGGGGTGGGTGAGACCCTGTCTCAAACGCAACAAAAGAAACAAAAACCTATCTTCATAAACAGCCCACACTATACTCAAGACACAGCTACCCAGTGTTGTGCGCACATATAATCTCTGTGCCCCGAGCATGTCATTTACCTGCAGGATTGTCAGGGATATGGCCAGGGAGCTCCCTGCTTCTTGGGACAACCTCAAAGCAGTTTATATAGAGTGACCGCTTAGGAAGGGGGTGAGCGAGGACCCCTAGAGAAAGGGGGCTCTCAGATAAAGAGGAAGAGCGTGTCCCATGCTGAGCCAAGAGCAAGTGAGAAAGCCAGAACATGAGTGTGAATGCAGCTTGGCTGAGGGCTCTCCCTGTCACAGGGTTCCACCGTGTGACTGACTGAAGAGGAGTGATCAAAGAGACAGTGTGGGACAGGAGACAGAGCTTATTTGTCGCCATGGAGACAACCTCCGGAGACTGGATATTAATCTAAAGTTACTGTAACTTTACTGCAACAGTTTCTGTAAGGCTTTAGAAGGGAGCAGTGTGTCTGGTTTATATCATTAGCTCACTGACTTGAGGAAACCAGAAACCACGGCAGAAACCTTGATGTCAGTTCTCAGAGAAGCAAAAGCATTGCTAAACATGACCAAACCCAGAGACCATAAAACTAAGATTAATACATTTGACTATATAAAAAAAATGTTTCATTCTGCATGGCAAAAAACTACACATGCAATTGACAGACACTGGTTAAACTTCTCTAAAGGGTAGGACCCTTGCCCAGTAGTAGTTTGCCAACACAAAGCAAATTCAATGCCTGTGTGTGTGTGTGTGTATGTATGAGTGTGTGTATGAGTGTGTATATTTTATTTCATTTTATTTGTTTTGGGAGTTTTTGTTTTATTGGTCTTTTGCTTATTTGCTTCAATTTTCATTTATTTTTCTGTTTTTATGGGAGTTTTTTTGTTGGCTTGGTCTGTTTTTTTTTTTGAAAGAAAGAGAGAAAAGGAAAGAACTTACAGTTGAGTGGGTAGTGAAGTGGGGAGGACCTGGGAGGAGTTGAGAGAAGGAAAAAAAAAAACATGATCAAAATATATCACATCATTTTTAACTAAAAATGCATATACAAAGTCAAAATACAATTTTCAAACAGAAGGGGAAATTCTATTTGTATCACAGACATCATGATTATTTCCTTAATATGTAAAGAACCTCCAAGGAATAAATTTTAAAAAGGCAGTTACCTGTAGGAAATGGACAAAGGCAAAGAAAAGTTTGGGGGTGGAGGAGACTAACAACAAAATGGCTCCTCAACACATTCAAAGACTAGAATCTCTTAGGAGAGATACATTGTAGCAACAGTCATAACATTTGATAATGCTCTCTGACAGCAAGGACTGGGAAAAGCACATGCTGATGTGTCCTGGTAATGCCGACTAATGCATCCATGGAGGGGACTTGGCAATATCTATCTGAACAGTAAACAGCCATCACCTTAATCCACTAGCTCCTATAGAAACCATTTAAAATGAGTTAGGGCTGAGGACGTGCTCAGTATGGAAGGCATTTGTAGAGCAAGCATTAGGACCCAAGCTCAGATGCTCCAGACCCACACGATAGCACACATCTGTAATCCCAGCACTCCTGTAGGGCGTGTGGGAGCAGGAGACTCCCCGAAAGCTCACAGACCAGCCAGCCTGATACACAAAGCAGTGATCAAGAGGCCTACCACTCAAGATTGTCCGCTGACTCTGATTCATGTAAAGCATGCACTTTACCAAACGTGTGTATACAGACACACACACACACACACACACACACAAACACACACACACACACGTACAGAGAGAGAGACAGAGACAGAGAAATAAGATAGGTCAAATAATACTTGTTCAAGGAAATGCATTGCAATAGAAGGAAGGAGAAAAGATAGGTGGGATGGGAAAGAAAAAGGAGGGGGGGAGGAAGGGGACAGTGGGAGGGAGCAGGGCAGGGGGGAACTACTAAGTGCTCTGTCAATTGAGCCACATATGTCCAGCCCTCAAAGGAAGAACTGGAAGCAGCAGCCTTAGTTCTCATCAATGTGAAACGGACTTAGAACATATTATAGTATAAACACAACTCATCTCTTTAAAACGGCCAAAGAGAGCATTCTGTCTACCAGTAGGAGCAAAGCACACTCGGTAGCACACACAGCACCCTCCGTGGGTTATAGGAAGTCTCCTCATACGTGAACATGTACAGGTTATTCTGGAAGGAAAACCAGAACCTATTAGCCTGGTGGACACGTGGGCTGTCGTGCTTGCACAACCTGGTGTTTGTTAGTGTCAGGCGTGAACATGTGAGCATGTCAGTAAATGGGTGGTAGGGCCCTCGGACTGGGTGAGCTCACCTGGGAGAGGAGATGCTGGGCCTGGCCCAGAGCACCCACAGTACAAGGCCTGATGGCAGACATCCTCAGGACCAGGAATTGGGGTGGGTGTCAAGGAAGCTGGGGGTGGAAGGTGCCCCAAGAAAAAAGGCGTGACCCTGTGACAGCTGCTTCAGGAGGTCAAGGATTTATTACTGTGGGACTTGGTATCCTGGAGATCAGAGTTACCTTGGCAAGGCTTTTCATGTGACACAGCAGAGACAGAAATCTTCTGGTGGGTTGAAGCTTGGGGGAGGGGGAGGTGAAGAAATGGGATGAGGCGTTTTTCTCTGAAGTCTAGGGGAATAACTGAGGATGAGCAGCAGGTGGCATGGGCAGGGTCCCCCACGCCCATCACCCAGGCACCTTAGCAGAGTAATCCAGGAAAAAAACCTGGTACTTCCCAGCCACAGTGCTGATAAGCGCTATACCCAAAGCAAGCACAAGTAGCCTCTGCCATAGGGCTCTGTCTTATCCAATGCCAACTTCACTGAGGTCCCTGGAGTTGGCTCTGTTACTTCTACGTGTCCCTGAGCATATCACAGAGCTTCTCCATTCCTCTTTTCAATGTAGAAGCGATCAGAGATCTGTCGTCTGAGTGCTGTATGAACGATATGCAGCACATAAGAGAAGCAGCCTTGTCCCACGAGCTCGGCTCAGGTGAACAGGAATCCTTCTGGGTAGTAGGAGGAGACAGAAACAAAGCTGCCTTTTGTAGATCAGAAGCCGGCATCAATGAATATAGTCCCAGCATGTGGGATGAGTAGTTACCAGGGTCGGGCATCTGTCATCTCTGTCTAGACAGTGAAGCCTCGGGCAAGGTTGTGACTAAGATCTGGGGATCCCGGGGAAATCCTGGATTTCCGTTCCTGGGGCGATAGGGGCTTTTAGGATCCCATCCCTGGCACACAAATCAGACTAAGCATCTTGATTCCCCAGAGCCAGCCTAGGAACCCCTCAACCACAGGTCTCCCACCCTTCACAAGCTCTGCCTTCTACCCTGATTCACAAACCTTTGGACAGACTGGGTCATCTAAAATCGCTCCGAGCACCACCCCTGCCCCTGAGATTTATTTTCCGGGTTGTGTTCCTTCTGGCGGCCAGCACAGAGTGTGAGCCCCAAAGGACTGTCACAAAGATACACTGCCTCCGTGGAGAATGCCATCAAGGACGCAAACAGGGCAGAAGGGGCCCCAGGAGTGTCCCAAAACAGGATTGAAACTTTGCAGCAGGCTGGGATCCAAATGGGCAGGGCGAAGGCCGGGTAGCCATGGTAACCAGTGTAGGTGTGTCATTTATTGTCATCCCTACTGCCAAGGCACTTAACAGTTTGCAAGGTGTTTCACAACCTAATGTCATTGCAGTCCTTGCAACAGCCCTGCCAGTGGCCACCAATGTCCCCATTCCACACGCAAGCAAGTGGAGGCTCCGCAAAGGAGCCTGCTGCTCCCTGGTCAGCGCAGCTGCTGCTGGATTAGAACTTATATCCCTGAGGCAGCTCCTGGCTCCTCCCCGGCCGCCCCTCCTCCACGCGCCTCTGGCTGTGCTGGCCAGGAGCCTCACCGAGGCCACAGATCTCGGCTTGGCCTCTTTCCTCTTCTGCTGTGGGTCTTGAGCACGTGGAGCCAGGCCTCCACCGTGGCGGCGCCGCTGACTGTAAGTACCGGGAAGGGGCGACAATCCAGGGCAGTTGAGAGCCCCTCTCTATGACGATCCCCTGGCGAGCTAGACTGGAGCCTGCCCACGCGCCCAGCATGGAGATTTAAGGGGCACCCTAACCCAACTCTCTGCTCCCCGCCCCTACCCCCACCCCCCACACTCATACATACACCAGCATTCTGGAGCAGGTGACGGTTCCGGCCGCTGGAAGGTTCACAGAAGGGGACCATACACCCGCACACGCGCGCGCGTCGCAGGTCCACAAAGCTCCCAAGCTGTCTGGAATGGAAGGAAACTAGGGTCCGGGGCCCAAGAAGGAAGCTATCTATACCTTTGGGGCCAGCCACAGTGCGGGGTAGAAAGAAATGGAGCGGTTGGGTCCTCCAGCTGGATTAAAAACTGGATTAAAAAATAATAATTGTTCTGGTGGCTGGAGTTGGGGGGGCAACAGGGGATCCAGAACCGGCTCCGCCAGTCCCCAGCATGGGCTAGGCGGGAAATTCTTTTCAGGTGAGTCTGTCTCAGGGTGTGTCTTAGAAGGGACTTGGCAGCCTGCACCAAAATGGGGAGCCCCAGACTGGGCATCCTTAGAGGGTACCAGGTGGAAGGAACCTCGGCTCCCCTTCACTCTCCTTGCGCACTCCTAGGAAGAGCAGGCTGGGGAGGGAACAGTCACAGATCCCTGCAGTAATCCAAGATAAGAGATAAGGAACAGGGTTAGCGACATTACAGAATTCTCTTGGATGTCTCCCAGCTAGTAAGCGGCAGTTCGGGCAGTTCCTGGGGGTTAGAATCCAGGTGTTAATCTTTGGCCCTCCCTGGAAGGTTTAGAAAGTAGAAGGACCAGACCCACGATGGTCTTCATAGCCTTCTTAGGGTTAGGGTTAGATACCCCCATCTAGTGGAGAACTGAGATTTTCAAAAGACAGACCCTGTGGAGGGCGGCAATACTGCCATCTAGCTCCTGGCTAGACCAGCCCTCTGCTGTTCCGCTCAGCCCTCCCACCGCCTCTCGACTCTCATGTGCCTCATGTGCCTGAATTGAGTGTGTGAATTGAGTGCCTACTGTATACTGAGCGATGCCAAACTTGAAGCAGCCAGCCAGTCAAGTAGGAGTGTTAATTGGACAGATGATAAATGAGAACAAAAACAAACAAACAAACAAATGACCAAGACTTAAATTGCACTTTGAGATTGAGGGCTACTAAAACAAAGAGAAACAGGAACCGACTGACCAGTTCAGACTGGAAGTATTTTGAGAGCAGACCCTAAGGGAATATTGGAACAGAGATGCCTCCTTCCTGAGTAGGGTCTAGAGGAAGAGCGTTCCTGGCAGAAGGAATCAAGGTGAGGTCTAAGCAGAGAGAGGCAAGGTAAGAGTGTGTGCGCGCGCGCGTGCGCGTTGAGGGATGCAGGGTGCGGGGTGCGGGGTGCCGGGACTATAGACTCCGGGGTTCGGAGAACTAGTAGCAAGTTTTAAGAGGGAGAGAATGTAACCAATGCAGAGAATATCTCAAAGGCCAATGAGGGGCCGAGGCAGGAGTATGGACAAGGATATAGCTTTGGCCGAGGTGGTAGTCCAGCAGTCATTTCAAACAGACTTGGAAGCACTCACGTGCACATCCAGGTTCACACAGGCTCGGGGAGAGCTACAGACTCTCACACCCCTATCAGCATGTCATTCCCTGGTACTCTCAGTTGACCCACCTGTCTACACCCTCTGAGTCACCCAGAAGATGAGGTCTGATCCATCAGCCCTACAAAGCCATGGCTAACAGCACTGCTTGGGCTGGCTAGACTCCCCCAAGCCCTGTTATCTGTACATACCATCTGAACTTTGGGCTCTCCCCAGGAAACAGACTGAACTTTGGGCTCTCCTGGGAAACGGACCCAAACCCCTCTGCATCTTCCTCATGACGCAAACCTGCCTGTCTTTACTGCCAATGACTGCAACATTAGCAGGTTTTAGAGCTGGGGAAATATTTAAGAGCACTGGCTGCTCTTCCAAAGCACCTAGGTTTGATTCCCAGCACCCACGTGGCAGCTCACAACCGTCTACAACTGCAGTTCCAGGGGATCTGATGCCCGACTCCTGCCTACGCCAACACCGGGCACACATGCGGGAGCATAGAAATATAAGCAGCCAAAACTCATGCACATAAAATTAAAATTAAAAAAATATATACATTATCAGGTCTTCTCTTCTTTTTCCATTCTCAGTTTCCCCAGACTCACAACCCCAAGTTCGCAGGACACTGTTGCAACATCAATGAGGAAATAATTTTCATAAACCATGGCTTGTGGCTCAGGATGTAACTCAGTACTTGCCTCGCATGCATAGAGCCTGGGGTTCCAACCGCAATATGGCATAAAACTGGACACGGTGTTACACGCTCCCGTAAAACCAGCACTCCAGAAGAAAAGGATGGAGGATTAGAATTTCGGGGTTCTCCTGGGCTACATAGTTCAAAGCTAGTCTGAGAAAGAGATGCAAAAAAAAAACAGTGGTCTGGTTGGGCCTGAGGAAGGGATGGGAGGTGGAGGAGAATGTGGGCCTAAGTTCAATCTCTTCAGCAGCGAGTTCCTGGCTTTCCTGTACCCTGCAGTAATGAGTCACCATCATTTCTCACTTATCTTGTGCTCTCTGTGCCTTGCCCGTCACTGTCATTTGATTATCAGATTCTCCATCCAGAAATTGGGAGGAGAGCAGGAGCCTTCACCTCAGGGTACCCTTAGCAAGTGTTAGGAGAGACTGTGAATACTGAGTTCTTGGCTCACAGTAAAGGGTCAGTGACTGCCACTGCACTCTGGCTCGGTGACTTTGGGTGAGTCATGTATTCTTCATGAGCCTCAGCGTCTGTCCTTCTGTCTGTCTGTCTGCACTTGGGAAGAATGAAAGTCCTCAATTCGTAGGATCCTTGTGATGACCCACCAAGTCCACCCAAATGAAGAGCTCAGTGAGGGCCCGGTGTGGTGGCACACACCTTTAATACTTTAATGCCAACTCTCAGGAGAGAGAGGTTACACCACTAGTCCCAGACCAGCCTGGGCTACATCGTGAAACTTGTATCGTATTTAAAAAAAAAAAAAAAAAAAAAAGGCTAGAGAGATGGCTGAACCTGGGCTACATAGTAAAATTTGTTTTCTTTTATTTTCTTCTTTTTCTTTTTCCTTTACTATTTTTCTTAAGACAGGTTCTCATGCTATCACCCTGGCTGCCCTGAAACTCACCATGTGGATTAGGCCAGCTTCAAACTCACAGAGATCCACTTGCCTGTTCTTCCCGAGTACGGGGATTAAAGGCTTGTACTTTGTTGTTGTTGTTGTTGTTGTTGTTGTTGTTGTTGTTACTGCTGCTGCTGTTTTCTTTTAAAAAGACAGGGCTGGATAGAAGTTAAGTGCTCTATAAAGGATCTGCTAATTCCAGCTGCAGAGGACTCCACACCACCCCACTTTGTGACATGTGCACATAGATGTACAATGACATATATGCAGAAACCCAAAAAAATATTTTTAATCTAATAAATAGTCATCAAGTGAATCACTAGCATAATGGTTTTTTTTCTCCATTGTTCCTTCAGGTGGGCACAGCCCCCCGAACCCTAAGCAGGCACCATGGACTGGAAGAAGCTCCAAGACCTATTGAGCGGCGTGAACCAGTACTCCACGGCATTCGGGCGCATCTGGCTGTCAGTAGTGTTCGTCTTCCGGGTGCTGGTGTATGTGGTGGCCGCAGAGCGTGTGTGGGGTGACGAACAAAAAGACTTTGACTGTAACACCAGGCAGCCCGGTTGTACCAACGTGTGCTATGACAACTTCTTCCCCATCTCCAACATCCGCCTCTGGGCCCTGCAGCTCATCTTCGTCACGTGTCCGTCTATGCTGGTCATCCTGCATGTAGCTTACCGCGAGGAGCGAGAACGGAAGCATCGCCAGAAGCACGGGGAGCAGTGCGCCAAACTGTACAGCCACCCGGGCAAGAAGCACGGTGGCCTGTGGTGGACCTACCTGTTTAGCCTCATCTTCAAGCTCATCATTGAACTGGTCTTCCTGTATGTTCTACACACGCTCTGGCATGGCTTCACTATGCCACGTCTGGTACAGTGTGCCAGCGTGGTACCCTGCCCAAACACTGTGGATTGCTACATCGCTCGGCCCACGGAGAAGAAGGTCTTTACCTACTTCATGGTCGGCGCTTCTGCCGTCTGCATTATTCTCACCATCTGTGAGATCTGCTACCTCATCTTCCACAGGATTATGCGAGGCCTGAGCAAGGGCAAATCTACGAAGAGCATCAGTTCCCCAAAGCCCTCCAGCCGGGCCTCCACCTGTCGCTGTCACCACAAGCTGCTGGAGAGTGGCGATCTGGAAGCCGATGAAAAGCTGCAGGCTTCAGCACCCAGCCTGACCCCCATTTGAACCACACTCTGGAGAAGGGGTGAATCTGAGAGGTGCTGCAGGTGGAGGGGTCCTGGGGGTGCTGAGTGTCCCCACTTGGAATTCACTAAGCTAGCCAATTCTGTTTGAAGCAGATTTTTGTGGGTTCTGGGCTCTGTGCTGGATACCTGGTACAGGTAACATGGCAGACCCAGCTTCAGAGAGACATTTAGATTAGCAAATTAACTGCATGCATGCAAGGGTCTACTTAGCACCGGGCTGGTAAACAGGGCTTCTACCCACCCCAGGGGACTGCCAGGCCAGGCATCCTCTCAGAAAAGCACAGTGAAAAAAAAATGCAGCTCTCCAACAGACATAGCAACAGCAAAAAGAACTGAGGTCTCAGAGGAGAGGTGCTGGCTCTGGACTGGGGACAGCCAGCTAGAGGGAGGCTTTACCACTCAACCATGAGAAGCTGCACAGGTTCCTAGGTGGAATCTTCTGGAGGCCAAAGAGCGAGTGTGGGAAATGGTAGCAGGCCTTGTCATGTCAACTGCTGCTTGAGAGACACCCACGTGTCCCTTTGGATCCCCCTTCATCGACCTTTAGGCAGCAATATTCTTCTCCCTCCCACCAGGGTGCTGAGCCCGCTGCACCCTATGGCCAGGACCTTGGCAGCATGCATATCCTGTCATATCCCCAGCATATATCCTTGATATATCCAAGCCTGTTTCCTTAAAAGCAATAAAGTTGTGTTTTATACGATTCGGTTCTTTCCTCCATTCTCCTCAATTTTCACAGCTCCCTGAAGTCAAAGGAGACAGCGCTGGGGAAAGGAAAGAGCCCTGAAACTTGGGGATGAAGCTAAGGTAGTGAGTGTGACCTAGGCTGAAGCCAGCGTTGGGAAAGGGTGGAGTTGCTGATGGCTGGATGGCGGCAAGGGAAGAGCTGAGAGTGGAGGAGCGGGGTGGGGGGAATATACACACATGTTGTAATTTTAGTTGTGGCCACGAGAGGGCGCTGCAGCCTTCCTAAATTAGCTTGATTTACGCACATACAATAGCACTCCTGTCGCTCAGCCCACGTCCCCACCCTGTGTCCACACAATCTCCGCTACTCATACTCACACTTGTGTACACTCATAGTAGAGTAAGCATGCAGCCACTCTAGAGACTGCTCACATACCAGCCTCACCCTACGATTCATTCAGTTCTGTCCATTTCCCCAAACTTCCTCACACCAGCCCGAAGACAGAGACTGGCCCTGCCCACGCGAAACCTAAACTCAAAGTGCTAGCCCAGATGAGACAGAAGCACAGACTGCCTTACAGCTCTGCTCACAGCCCCACTCAGAATGTGCCCATGACCTGACGTTTAAGGGAAACCAGCATCCCAAGCCAGCCCAGAATGTGAAGCTGAGCTTTGTGCAAGCATAGACTAACCCTCAGGAACATTTAGTGACCATTAAAACCAACGCCAAGAGCCAGAACGTCAGGAGCCAGTGGGCTGCTAGCCAATGAGAGCCAAGAGAGGTCAGGTCACCTGGAAAACACAACAGGCTGTGGCTCACCTTTGCTCTCTGTGGCCGTTAAGGGGTGGGTGAGTAAACCCAGTTTAACGGGCTCCAGGCTAGGCTGATGGTCCCTTTACAAACAGTTTCACCACACTACACTTGGATTAAACCTTAAGAACTTCTGGTTTATCATCAGTACAATAGGACCTGCAACAGCCAAGTTCTCAACAGAAAAAGCACCACCCATTCAAATTAAGTTACCGTAGTTAATATGGTAATACCTATAAGTCCAGCAGCACTCGGGAGGTCGAGACTGGAGGATGATGAGTTCAAAAGCAACCTTGGCTTCGTGGGTGAAATGGTGCTGAAGGGCGGAGGAAGGGGAATTTCTACAGAAACTGTTATCAAGACCACGGGTGTGACTGAGAATCGCAGATACTGCCATGCCTGTGATGGCTTATGTTGATTGTAACCAGGCAGGGTGTATGTAGAGTCACCAAGGAGACAAGCCTCTGGTCGTGCCTGTGACTCTCTAGATTGGGCTAATGTGAGATCCGGGCTAGATGTGGGCAGCACTGTTCCAGAGACTTTGGTCCTGGGCTGGACAGAAAGGATGAAGGTACAGGTAAGCAGCCAGCTCTGGGCTTCCTGGCTGAAGGGACCAAGCTTCCTCATGTTGTTCCTGCTGTGGTTTCCCCTGTAACAGATCACACCCTCCACTGTGGGGCAATATAAATCTTTTCCTCCTCAGGTTCCTCTTGTCAGGCGCTTTTGAGAAGCCACATGAGAAATAACTCTTAGAGCACCCAAGGAATGGTGCAGTCACGGGGGTGGAGGATGGGGGCCAGTACCAGCGGGATAATGGGCAGCGGGTAGAGGATGCATTTCACCATAGGAGCCAATCAACTCCGCCTCTCACTGACCCAACCCAGACACAAGGCAGAGCACAAGGTGGTCTGCTGAGGCTGTGGGTGGCAATGTCTCCCAGGGCACAGAGCAGGGTGGAGTAGGGTGGGGTGGTGAGAACCTCCAAAGGGCAGAAGGACCCAGCTCAGCACTTAGAACAGTTCCTTCTGGAAGGAACTGCTACAGAGATCAAAGGAGACACGGTGAGTAAAACATTAGCGCAGTGATATTGGAGCCAGGAAATACCTAGGTGTGACCGTGTCTGGGAGAGTCTCTGGTGGTGGGGCTCTACCCAGGCAGCTCTCTGCTTGGGCTGGTGGTTACAAAGGTCCCAGAGAGGAGTGAACTCTACCTGTTTGCTACTACATTATTTCAGAATTGTGTCTTTTTTCTTTAATTTTATTTTCATCATGCGTGTGTATATTTGTCTGTGGGGGAGGGTATGTTTGTGTGTGTGAGTGCAGGTGCCCAAGGAGTCCAGAAGAAGGGGACAGATCCCCTCGGAGCTAGAGCCATAGGTGGCTGTAAGCCTCAGCCATTGTCTTTAACTACTGAGCTGTCTCTCCAGCCACACACCACTACCAAAAAAAACAAAACAAAAACCCACATTCCATTCCCCTTCCAAGTGACACTCAAGCATCCTTGCCTGTCCCCTCCTTCCTGTCCAGCCTCATTGGGTCTGCATACCCAAGGCATGGACATCCTTATGGCTAGTACCCACTTATAAGTGAATACACAGTGCACTTGTCTTTTTGAGAGTGGGTGGCCTCACTCTGGATGATATTCTCAAGATTCATTCATTTGCCTACAAAATTCATGATGTCTTTGTTTTTCATAGCTGAATAGTATTCCATTGTATAGATGCACCACATTTTCTTTATCCATCCTTCAGTTGAGGGACATCTAGGTTGTTTCCAGTTTCTGGCTATTATGAATAAAGCTGCTCTGAGCCTTTGTGGGATGGCGGAGCATCTTTAGGGTCTATGCCCAGGAGTGGTGTAGCTGGGTCTTGAGGTAGAACTATTCACAGTTTTCTGAGAAACTGCCAAATTGATTTCCAAAGTGGTTGTACAAGCTTGCACTCCCACCAGCAGTGGAGGAGTGTTCCCCGTACTCCACATCTGACAGCATGTGCGATCGCTTGAGTTTTTTATCTTAATCATTCTGATGGGTCTAAGATGGGGCCTCGGAATTATTTTGATTTGCATTTCCCTGATGACTAAGGACTTTGAGCATTTCTTTAAGTGCTTCTCGGCCATTTGAGATTCCTTTGTTGAGAATTCCCTGTTTAGCTGTGTAACACACACACACACACACACACACACACACACACACACACACACGTAGCAGATGTGCAGCTTGGTCTTCATGTGGGTCCGGAACAACTAGAGCGGGATCTATCCCAGAAGCTGTTGCCTGTCTGTGGGATATGTTCTACTAGCTGGGCTGCCTTGTCTGGTCTCAGTGGGAGAGGAGGTGTCTAGCCTCTCAGAGACTTGAAAAGCCAGGATAGGGGATATACCCAGGGAGCCCCCACCTGCCCAGAGGAGAAGGAGAGGGGAGATGGGAAAGGGTTGTGGGAGGGGTTACGGCAAGGGTGGGCAGTGAAAGGAATGTAAAGTTAATAAGTAAAAACAGTAAAACATATCCACTGCCTGTCCAGCCTGCTTTTTTTTTTTTTTTT